AAACCTTCATGCCACCAGCTCGCCGCGATCTTCATCATCATCTCACGCACCCACTCAAGCGTAGCCCCATTGAAGCCACCATACTGCAAGCCTCTCCTCCCTAGTGTGCACCACCGACCCAGTGAATCACAGACAGCAACCAAGTCGCTCTGCATGCGCGGGGGGGGGCAGGACGGTCGCCAAATTCGCCGTGTGTCCGTTAGCGACTCAGGTTCGAGTGCCTTCTAAGCCGTCGATAGTCCTCCCTCTCACGCCTGAGATGGAGCCGATGACAGCACAGGTCCAAGACTTCCTGGACCGAGCCCAAGCAGTGCCGGTGGTGAGCTTGAGCTCACTGCTCGCGCCATGGCATGTCGCCGCAGGGGTATTGGTGTCAGTGGCTGCCGTGATGCTCTTCTTTTACTACTTACGCTGGAGCCTGTGTCAAGCCCTGAGCCAGGACATGCGAAAACTACTTGAGCATGCACTCGCGGCGGCCAGCATGGGATCTGGGCCAGTGGACGGGCTGTCGGACATGCGCACACGCCTGCAGTTCTTGGACGACACCGTACCAAGCATCCTACAGTCTCTCCAGGAGGGTATGACAGCGCGGTGACGAGCTGCGATGCTTCCCTGGCACAGGTACAGCAAGGGATGACGGATCTGGGCAGTGTCTCAGGGGCAGAGATCACCTCGCTCCTCAAGGAACTTGGTGCTCTCATGGGGTCCCTCAATCAACTCACCCCGGAAGAGACCTCGAAGTTTCTGAAAGAGGTCAAGTCGGCTCTGGAATCCAGGATGGATCGGCTGCACGAGGCGATCCAGGAACTGAGTACAGCAGCCACGGCCTTGAAGACCCGCCGGGTGACCGTGGACATCGCGCCCTTCAAGGAGCAGATCGATGCAGTAAAGGACCAACTGGCAGCCTTGCTTGCCAAGGTGGACCAAACCAACGGGTACATGCGTGATGATCATGCACTGCTCGTCCGCACCAAGGACAAGGTCGAAGAGAGCAAAGCAGACAGTGAGAAACATAAGGCAGCCTTGCAAGGTGACATCCGGAATGTCATCACCTTGGTGCGCACCATCGAGAAGAAGTGCACACAGGCCTCCGACTTTAGCGAGAAGGCCCTCAATGTGATCGCGACAGGCAACCCGAGCCCATGGGAGACGGAGCTCAAGAACGTGGTGGACGAGTCTGAGAAGCTCCTCCGTTGGATTGCGGGCCAGGAAGAATCCCTGGCGGATCGAGCGCAGAAGATAGAATCGATGTGTACGGGAATGATTGACCAGCTTGGGGACGTGTCAAGTGCATTGGAGTCCCACAGTGCTACGACAAAGATTGCGCCTCTTGAATCTTGAACGAAGTGCAAGGTGGTGTTGAGCGCGTCCTCAGCTCGCTCCCCCCGCGGCCAGTGTCGGGAGGAGCACCACAGCAGCCTCCGCCGATGCAGGCACCGCCCATGAGTTCCACAGGGTGGATGCAACGTGGGCCTCCGCCGGCTCCCACGCACACGCCGACAGTCTTCACGGTATGGAGTGGGCCGGCACCGAGTTCCAGGCCGGCACCAGTGATCGTCACCAGCATGGACACCCTTGCCAACGCCCTGCAGCAACACCAACAGCAACAGCACATGTGAGGGGCGTCGTAGAGTAGTCAGCCAAGGTGGAGCCGTGGCCTGAAATCGCAGTGCATTTTCAGCAAGCGACGAAGGATCAGGAGAAGCTGCGACATTCTTCGGGCACCTAGCGTTGGTTTTGAGCCTACCTTGCTTGCACCGCCTGACAAGAGCGGACTGATCCTGATTACTGTCGCACTGCTGCTGCCTGCCACTGCCTTTGCACTGCCTTCCTTTCCTTTGCACTCTCCTTGCACTGTCTGCTTCCTTTCCTTGCCAATCCCTGGAGTGTGCTAGCAAGATGCTCACCGAGCCGTGTCAAAAAAACCCGACAGAGTGCTGTGACGAAGAACATGCCAGTTGTCTGTAGCATCTTAGGCCATGGTCTCCTTGCCAAGCTTGTCCGTGGTCTCAGCCTGTTGGTTCACAGGTAGGAGGGTACCCCACCCCGTGTCGCGAGACCATGTCCTTTCCACAGCTCAAATCTCCGCCGAGTGATGCAATTGACCTCAGGACCCCGAAACTACCCGAAGCACAGAGCCTCGAGGCCCCGCGCACAGACTCGACCCCCCAACACATCACCGCCGAGGGCTGCGATGATAGGACCTTCCCTTCCCTGCATCCTGATCACAGCGACTACCGAGTACGTCACGTAGAAGAAGCAGCCCTGCAGGTCCTCCGACTCGATAGGCCCCTCTGCCAACTAGACATCAGGCGTGTTTTCGATATGATTCCTGCTAGCTATCGTAAACGAGCAGATAGTGGCCAGGGGGTCTATGTCATAGGGGGAGCAAGTCCACGATGCCGTGACTCCGTCCTGACACACTCCTTGGACCTGCCTTTATTTAATGTTATGGTCAACAACCACCTGCGTTGGATTGCTCCACTCCATAACTACACTACGTATGTCATTCGAAGGGGATGCGTAGGCCGAGTCCACCGTGATGTCAGGAATGCCCCGATTCCCTCACTTGTGATTGCTTTGGACACGCCTGACTGGCAGCACGACGGCTTGTGGCTACAGGACCCCGCGGGGACCGTCTACAAGGACCACTTAGGAGCCAGCCTAGCAGGACGGGTGGTGCCACTCCGAAAGCCTTTCACGTTCAACGCCAGAAACCAGCTGCATGCAGGACACCTCGAGGACCCCAGTAGACTGCAAGAGCGGCTCATACTAGTTGCCTTCTCTGTACTTCAGTCTTCGGTGCTTTCTTCGGGAGTTCAGGCTAGCCTTCGGAACCTAGGTTTTCCCCTCCCGTCACCCCTGCAGTTGCATATTGCCCTACATGGCTCACTACCTCGCCTCAAACAGACCCACATCAAGGCCTTCTTTAGCCAGCACAAACCCATCCTTGACCTGCATGATGTCGTCGTAGTCGAAGATTCCCAGGAGCAGTAGTACCCGAGCTAGCCGTACATCCTCGACCCCGTGTGTAAAACATGGAAGCCTTTTACCAGGACCGACGGCACCTTGGCAGCAGTACCCCCCCCCCAAAAAAAAACAAATGAGAACCACGAAAGCCTGCCTGTACTGATTACCTTTGCACTGCCTGTTCCTTGCACTGCCTTGCCCCTACTTGCTTCCTGCACTGTGCTGCTGTCTCACTTCGCCCTGTGTCACCTCTCGTCATTCCCTCGAGCACTGCTCCTGCGTCTGTCTGCTTGTCGGGGTCTCGCGATGTAGTCTCCGACCCGATAGCACCCCTATGTGTGTTTATCACCTTGTCTCCCCCCTAAGCAAACCACTAACCCTGCGCCGACGCAGCCATGGCCCTGCTCTTGTGTTTCTGGCCAGATTCTGTGCTGACGACTTCGGAGTTCGGAGTCACTCCGGGACTCACTGGACTTTGCTGCAACGAGTTGAGCCGAGTCTTGGAAGAGTCGCGAGGACGCAGTGTACCTTCTTGCCGGGACGAACTGTCACCTGCCTGCCTGAGCCGGCAACAGTGCTGCACATAGCCACGTAAGTCGACCGTACACCAGCCGTGCGTTCATCTTCAACCTGTCCTACACCCTCGGTGGCGGGTCCATCTATGGCTCACCAGGACTACCGAAAACAGTGTGCAGAACAGTATGGAGGGCCGCCGAAGACAGTGTGCAGAACAATCCGGAAGACGGTCATGAAACTCGTGCTTACGACCGTGTGCTGGCCTGCGCAGTCCCTTGCGCCCCTGCTTCGAAATGGAAGCTGAATGCAAGTCTATGCTGGAGAAGGGGGTACCGCAACTGACTCTCCGACAGAGTCAATCTGCCTGACTGGGACGCCGAATTTGCAGCCGCCACATGTTCTGCTGAGAGTGCCACCACAGTGAATGCAAGAGAACCTGGTACAACTGCCCTAGTTAGCACATGCCTGATGGTGTGATGTGTTGTGGGTTTTGTTCAATGCCAGCCGTAGGCCAGTAGCAGGTATGCCAGGTCTTCTTGCGCCGGGCAGATGTAGTAGTAGCAGCCAAACCCGTCCGGTCGGTATGTTGATGTATGTTGATGACTCGGTTGGCACACCACTTCGATTCGATGTAGTAGTAGTTGTACTGAGGAGTCCTATGTAAGACCGACTGCATGCAAAGGCGTCGAATGCCCTTGTTAGTGCTGAGCGGCTAGTGCAGCTGAGCCTGGTTGGACTTTCGGTGGTAGCGTATGCGGTATTGTTTGTATGCGTTTGGTTGTGTGTTCAGGGGCAGCCGTAACTGAACGAACAACCACAGCAGGCCTTCTTGCGCTGTGCCTGCTACTGTAGTTGTCACCTTTCTCGACCAAAGTGTTCAATGTTTCCGTGTTGTGAGTGTAGCGTTTTGGTCTTCGCACTGCTCGTACTTGCATTGTGAACTGCCTGGAGCCTAGGGCTGAGAGCAACTGAAGCCTCCGTCCGACCCACGTAGCTCCCAGATCCCTCTACGTCTCGCGAACTCCGTACGGGATTCATGCTATCTGTTTTCGCAGAGAAGTGAGGGAGTGGGAGCCTCGTGGCACTATGAGTGACCTGTCGCCTGCAGCGCGGAATCGCAAGAGTCCGACAAGTGGGAGCCAAAAAGTAGTAGTAGGAGTAGTAGTAGGAGTAGTAGTAGTAGTAGTAGTAGTAATAGCCGTAGTATATAGTAGTATATAGTAGTATATAGTAGTATATAGTAGTATATAGTAGTATATAGTAGTAGTAGCCGTAGCCGTCTTAGTAGCAGCAGGATTGTTTTTATCATTAGTAGCAATACGTGCAGTATGTTGAAGTCTTCCTCCTAATATGCCTCCTTGAGCGTTTCGAAGTGTGCGGTTGAGGGTTTTGAGATATTGGGGCTTGAGATATTGGGCAGTCATGCACTCATGCAATGCCATCTGCCAAAACCATACTTGGGCGGATATGTGACCCACTGTGACATTGCCAGATGGAAGTCCGTCTTCGAGCAGATGAATGGTGTCTTTGCCGAAGAACTCCAAAGACGAAGGGAGCACATTGCATCGAGCACGAAGCTGAACTCAGCCATTGCGCCTCTGCTCAAGATGGGTCATGCACCCTTTCACGTGATCCCATTCGGACCTGCCTTGTGTTCGAACTGCTGCTGCTGTGTTTTCCTGAGGTTGTTTTGCTGATAACGAACACGATCATCTTGGGAATAGAGGTGGATGACCAGAGGGCCGTCGCAGTCGAGATGAATGTTGGCTTCGTGCTGATTGAAATCTTTTTTGCGAGTGTCTTCATCCTGGAATGGCTTGTCCGACTTCACCAGCAGAGATTCGAGTTCTTCCATGACGGCTGGAACGTCTTTGATTTTAGTCTCGTGCTAATGGGTTTTGGTGACTTGATGATGACTCTCTTTCGCCCCGTGGCGGGTGTCCAGCTGGCAAAAGCATTTCGCGTCTTTCGCGGCTTGCGGGTCGCGCGGAGTGTGAAAGGCGTCGCTGGCCTGGGAGGTCTTTGGTTCATGATCCAGGGCTTGCTGGACTCGTTCAAGGCGGTCACATTTGTCGCAAGCATCGCTGCGGTTGCATTGTACATCTTCGCGGTGTCTCTGACTTCGGTGGTGGCTACGGATCCCATCGTTCTGAACTTCTGGCCTACTGCGAAGTTCTACTTCGGGACTATAGGCCAATCCATGATGACAATGCTACAGGTTGCTACGCTGGACAGGTGGGCTGGCTTGGTGGCTCGTCCACTGTGTCCCGGCTGCGGTTGCTTAAGCAGGCCGGCGATGATGCTGGAAGCAACTTGTTAGTGTAAATCGTAGGCTGGCAATAGGCCTCCAGGATTCACATGTTCCTCTCAGGTTAGAGTTGTCTCCGCCTGCGGTCGTCCTTCTGATTCTCGGGGTTGTTCTGCTCACCTTTGCCATCTTCAACCTTCTGGTGGCGGTCATGGTGAAGCAGATCACCTCTTTAGCGTCGGATAGCAAGGACTTGTGAGCTTGTGTCTTTGATTGCAGACAGGTGTTTATTCGTCGGTATGGGCAGGAGACCTCGGCGAGAATGCTGATCAACTCAGAAAGATACATCTTGCATCGCCTGTTGATCGAATTCAACCGACACGACCAGGACGGGGCTTTTCAAAATTTCGGCTCGGAGAGGTCGCTGCAGCTTCACATCGTCTATCGATTCCGAACAGTGTTCGTCGAATGGGAAAATTTGCAGTCTTGCTACGAAATGGGCCTCACACAAAGAGGCGGACGGAATGCCAGGACAACACTGGCTATCTCAGCCTGAGAGAGTTTAAGAAAATGATCAGGCGGGGAAGCGGTTTGCAGGAAACCGTGCAGCCTACGAGCGTTTGCAATCCAGTTGCGGTTCACTGCGCAGGCAGAGTGATGTGCAAGCCAAGCTGTCGATGCTTGGCCTTCGCGTGGACGAAGCTGAAGAGCTGTTCACTGTGCTTGATGCAGATCAGAGCGGTGAGGCGCACGCTCAGCTATATACTTTCAAAATCAGCACTGCTTGAGCACAGCTGCAATCTGGTGTAGAATGGGCTCGTCGTAGCTATTCGAACCGGCTCACGAAGCACAGTCGTGGTGCGAGAACCGGGACATGAGAGGCCCCTTAACTTGTGTCGCACGTGGTAGCAGACAAGCCTGTGACAGTTTAAACACGAGACTGCACGTGTGTGCTAGTGGAGCCGTGCGACCCTCTCCTCAGACACAGTGTGTACACACATACACACATGCTTGCACAGGCATAGATACAGACATACATAAAGACAGACAGACAGACTCAGCACAGAAACCTCAGCGTTGCGCGAGAGCGCGGGGGTGCAGGGGAGACCCTACACCCTAAACGCTGTGCAAGCAAGCAAGCAAGACAGACAGACAGACAGACATTTTCACACCTTAAGGCATACATGCATGCACACACACACACACACACACACACGCATACTTGTATGCCTGCATGGACTCGTACAACCACACCCAACGTACAGTCACGTATGCAGTACTTTTTTACATGTGCAAGGTTGAAAGTGCGAACATGTGTTCGGGCTTTCCCGAGGAGACACGGCTTTGCAGGCCCTCTGAATCCAAGCACTGCTATATTGTGCCCGGTGCAAATATTCGTCAGTGCAGTCGCCCTGTCTTCTTCCCTCCTATCTCGCTGAGTGGTAGTAGCTCGCTGTTGGTGAGCGACCTGAGAAGGCTTGTCTCTAAAGTGGATAAAGGCGAAGAACACCGTGTCGCCACAGGAGTGAGGGTCAAGTTTACTAAGAAGAACGGTTTCTTTGCTTGAATGATGGCATTCTGGCTGAAGTTATCTGCGTGTTTGTTGTAAACAAAGACGGACAGAAGCTTGAAATTCACAGGATTGTGGTGTCGGCTCGAAGTGTACTTTGGTATGTCTGGCATTGTCTGGTGCGGCCTTAACTCCTGATGAGTTAAAGCTCCTTAATGCCTCGTTTGCACTTGTCCAAACATCTATTGTAGCTTGTGTGTCTAAGCACAATCGAGCGAGATGCATACCTCGCAAAATTGCGTAGTTCCTGGTGATTCCGTGGTGCTACGACAGGTCAGTGCCGAAGAGTTGGTCGATGGGATCCAGCCTCTTGGTCCGAACTGGATACAGCAGACCCAGGTTTGTGTGAGCCTTGTGCTTCTGAGGCAGCTGAAGGGGCCTGCCACGGGCCAGGACTTGTGTTTGTCTGTTGCCTAGAAAGGCCACAAGTCGTCGCGACATCCAGAAGATCTCAGTCTCACACGGCAGGACATGGTTCGACTCATTAGCATCGCGCTCCATGAGAATTGGCGTGCTGGATGTTTTGTCGAGCGGCTGCGGCGAATGAGCTACACAGCTGATGAGATCCAGGCCTGAGTATTTCGCAGTTTCGGTAGCAGGGCTACACAGAGTATGACATGTATGTCCCTTGAAGTGGCAAGCGACTCAATCCCACCGTCCTTGCAGGGTCGACTGAATATGATGGGCAGCTAGGCGGCAAAGAGGGCACAACGACAAACACGGTCGTGGTCTTATTCAGTATGGGTCACAGAATCCACTTTAGGTCACCGGTTGTCATCGGAGATCTTCGATGCCAAAAATGCCGACTATCGCCATGACCTGCTTCACAAGCAGGCGCAGGGATGAAGCCACCAGAAGTCAGTCAGAGATGACAAGAAAACCACGTCATTTGTCTGTTGCGCGTCTATAAAAGAGGCAGCAGACAGGGACAAGGTGATCTACGAGATGGACCAGTTTCGTTTCGCCAACTACCCAGAGATCATACCCAAGCCTGTGCCTGTGCCCAAGCAAGACCAGGCCGTCCCACATGCAATTTGACCCCGTAGCCGAGTTCCGCTCGCAGATGTTTGAGAGATCAGGATGCCAAGAAAGACTACCGACTACAGATGTTTGGCAGTGTAGCCTTTGTAGGAGCTGGAGCCAGACAACTTCCTGGATAACTTCTTGGAATGAGTCGTGCCTCAGGTCGTGCGACTGTGATAATGTATCGGCTGGCGAGGTTATGGAGATTGACATTTCAGGGTGGGCTTGCTAAGTACATGTAACCAGTGCATGATACTTTGCTCAGAGACTTCGACAGCCTAGGATATTCAGTCGTTGCTTTCTGGCTTCTGGAGTAGAACCTCCGGAGCCAACACTTTTAGTATAGTGCATGGTTCACGGCTCTGCCTTGCGAACGCAAGCCTGCCAGCATGCTCAAGGGCTCCTGCAAACGACCTACATATGCATGTATATATATATATATATAGTTGTATAACTATATAAACAAATAAATAAATATGTGTATATATATATATGTACATATATATATATATATATATATGTGCATACGTCTGAGATGTTGAGCCCTGGGGTTTCTTGACATCTTCTCGCTACCTGAGCAGCATCAGCGGACCTGCAAGGACACTATTCTGCTTGAAGTTTCCATGTAGATTCAAGACGCAGGTCCGTGTTGTATATCGAGGAAGACGAGCCGCTATTGCACCGAGTGCTGTGCGGCGATTATTTCGGGCACGGGCTCCCGAGCTTGGGACCCTTGTGCACCACTGAATTTTTCTCCGGCTAGACTGCTGCTAGTGAACACCACAGCTTGCAGTACTGCTCAACGCGGCGCCTCCTAGACCGAAAGGCTGACGGGCGTGCTTTTGATCCTGCGGCTTCTCCATGCAGGCGGTTGCTAGCGGACAGATCAAGCCTCTCGTGCAGAGGCCTCGTTTCCGGGACGCTCAGAAGTTCGTGGATGGCGAGGCCGCCAGTCACTCTTGAGCACCCATTGCCATCCCATTCCCTCTCCAGGGATGCGCACTGGCAAGCAACGCTTTTAGCGCAACAGCCATTCGACAAAGCAATCCCATTCATTAAGCCTTCGGCTCAAGAAGCACCGAGAGACGTACAGAAATGGGAAATAGTGCAAGGAATGCAAATATCAACGAAGCCTTGAGCAGCACATGCCAGCTCGAAGGATGCTCCAAGTGTTTGCATTAGGCACAACGAAGTCGAAGGACCACTAGCGTCACTAGAGGACAGGATCCAAACCACTCAACGTCATCCTCGCGAGTAGGCATTGATCCTAGCCATGACAATGTGACTTGGCGAAGCACCAGCCTTCGGGAGATAGGTGGTCAGATGGTTTTCCCAAGTATGTGTAATGCGCAGCGGTCGCCACCTCTCGCCTAGGACCCTGGAAGAGGAGATAGACTACCTTCAGAATCGTGTGGCCTACCTGCGAGCCCGAAAGCAGCGGAAGCAGCTGCTAAGAGCCGCCAAAGCGTGGGGGAGGCTGGAGCAGGCTGGAGTGCATGTTGTGGATTTTGTCCCTCACAACCCGCAAACAATAGATCTGTGTCTTAGAACCTGAAGTGCAGTTCTTATCCCTAAACCCGTAGATGCTCGAAACCCCACATGCATTGCCGACCAATCCCACCCCAAAACACCCGCCTATCCATCTACTTGTAAGTGGGCGCTTTATCTCGAATCGCTGGGTTGAAATGCGCATCCATCGATGTTCGTCTACACAAGGGAACCACACTTCAAACTGTCACTTCTATTTGTGAACGATCCGATGGTTCCACGTGGAATCGAGTGTCTAGATGGGGAATCGCTGGTTTTGATGTGTTCAGCTGCCATTGATGTGCGTCCCGAGCGGATGCTTGTGGAATCGAGCGTCTAGATGGAGAATTGCTCAGCAGAAACCGTCTCGGTCATCCCGTCTGGCGCTGGAGACGCAGACCTCCAACGCCGCACGCGTGTGCACACACTTACACTCACACTCACAGGTGCTTGTGCTCATACGATCGACAAGACCAAACGCTCGGTACGTGGATCTGTGGCGCGGTTTGAGAATGGTGAGCGTTGCTCCGCGGATCCGTGCTCGATACGTGGACTGCGGTGGAAGCCCAGGATCAAAACTCGGAACTTTTCGATTTCCATGGCTTCGGTAACTTGGGGATTCGGTGCCAACATGCATTCTAAACTGCAGTGAGCAGTACGTGGCAACTATTTAACTATTTGAAAACCCCAGTTTCCGCGGCATTTCCTGAAACTTGAGCTTGCGCGACGTGGAGACGAATCGCAGCATCTACATGGGAATTATCCACATGTACTGATGTGTATTCTCGCCATTGATGTGTAGTTCTTCGAAACAGCGTCCACACTCGGGTGATGTGTATTCTCGCCGACTGATGTGAGATAAACCCCACGCTTGTATGTAATCCATCCATCCATTCACCTATCCATTCACTTACTCGTCCATCCATCCATCCGTCCGTCCATCCATCCATCCCTCCCTCCGGCCAGCCAGCCAGCCAGCGATCCATCGATTCAGCCACGCACCCATCCATTCATCAATCCACCCACCCCTCCGTCCATTCCGCCTACGCGTCCATCCATCCAGCCAGGCAACCATCCATCCATCATCAACCCTTGTATAAACCTTCCATACACAATTACAAACCCTGACATCAAGCCCATACACACCCTTCTATAAGCCTGTCCAAAAACCATTCTACCAACCCTTGTCCAAAATGCTGGCCCCGAGTATTTGCGGAGTTCAGAGACGTCAAACCCTCCACCAATATCCTTCCTTCTATGTACCTGTTCGACCTGCCTAGGTGGGAGGCAACTGTACCGCTGTGATTCCAACCACGGCCAAAATGCATGGAGGGATCCGACCAAACTGCGATCGATTCAGGAGCAGCACTTTCCAAAAAGCTGCCTCCAAGTACTGGCGGGATTCAGATACACAAGCAACATGTTTCCCTCAAGTAGTGGCGGGATTCATTCAAATTTCGAGGCCAATATCAAGCCACATGCCAACGATGGGGTCAATGTCGAGGGCATCATGAGGCCATGATGAGGCCCAGGTCGCAGTATGCACAATAGATCGCGCTGAGAGGGTTTTCGGTTCCGTACACCAATCGTCGCATCACCACGGCCGAAACTCAATTGAGCCTCCCGACCCCGAAGTACACTCCGAAGTACTGGCGGGACTTGAAGAATTTCGAACCCGGCCGGGTCGGCCGAGAGAAGTCATGTGAAGACACACCTGATATCAATGTAGCGGAATTTACAATAGATTGCGCTCACCGGAGCACGAGGAGACGCCCGACCACGCTGGAAACTGGTAGCAACAAATCCGAGCACGCATCGTCACGACACCATATGCGCGGCGCCAATTTTCCTGTTGAAAAGCCCTTGGCCACGCTTTCGGGCAAATTCTGTCCCGGAATCCCGAACCCACACCCTACATACACCAGCCCCGGATATAGGGACAGTGGTTGTCTAATACTGTCAAGGTCTTAGGTCCCCAGCCTTCCTTTCCTCTTCGTTGCATGTTACTCGAAGATGAAACACACTTTGATGTTCTTTGTACGGGATCTCTGTGTTGGCGGCTCAGTTGTAGCTGTGCACGGATCAGGAGTCATGGACGTGCTGGCTTTTCTCCTGCTGCTGTTAAGCATCCTGCAGCGACATGGCTCGCCATCCACCGAAAGCAGACTGGAGGCCATTGAACAGGGAACAAGTAAGTTGGTCATGCATCGGGTTCTCACAGTTAGGACTCTTGCCGTCACAAGTCACCCCTGTGGGGAGGCTCTTTTGCAGCTAGCTTGCGTGAAGCTTCGGAAATGGGTTGTTGCGGCCACACCCATCCAACGTCGCTCCTTTGGGGGAGGTATATGGAAACTCCGATGGTGTTTATGGGTCGCAGTAGCAACAACAAGAAAAACACATCATGCCTGTGCTGTGCAGCCACTGCTGCGTCGTGACACCTTCAGCCTTCAGCCTTGATCTTTACAGTTGATTTGAGAGCTCCCCTAGCCTCAAGGGTTGAGAAGAGTTTCCTGTACGGGCAGGGTATCGCAGTATCAGTTCCGTATTGGTGCAGAGAAGCCAAGCAGCTTTTACTATCAGAAGCGGCAGCCTCTTCAACATGGCCTTGCAGCCGCGTTCCTCGCATGCGCAGCGTGAAACCGAGCATGAACAACTGTTTGCTTCCCTGTCTGAAGGGTGACGCTGCTTTCACGTAGTCACTTCGATCTAAAGTTCTCTGCCGACCCCGCTTGTCCTTCACGCTGAAATTGGTAACCTTGGTGTCATGTCACGGTTGCGCTTGTTAACCTCATCAGTCTTTTAGAAGACAGGAGTCTGCCTCTTGAAGCACTCTGCCAGATTGGATTCGGGACTTCTGAACATTTTACACAACATCCAAAAGACGAGCTGAGAGCCATGGAACACAACATTACGACTGTCCAATCAGACATGTGGAAGTGCATATGTAACGGTTTCAAAGACCTCGGTTGTCGCAGTGCTATGTCGGACAACGCTCGCGAATTATTGATTGTGACACTAGGACTAGGACGCTTCAGATGCCAATCCCTCGAGCTAGGTCAAAGGGCACATTCGGGACCTTACAAGGAACATTGCCAAGGCTGGACACAGCTGCAGTGCTGCAGAACTGGCGATTGACCCTATCAGCAAAACCCAGTGGTACTGCTTGATGTGGCAACCATCCGACGGAGCGTCTGCGGGCAGTCCATGAAACTCTCTCATGTGACAGGGCCGGGCGATTCAAGATCGAAGTTGGGATGCTGATGGTTGTGGGCCTCGCAGACAACAAGCGCATTGTTTCGTTGGCCAGCCGTGCGAGGTGGAACGTCTAGCCCCTTGGCTTCGAGCTATGCCGGTGTGGTGGCAAGCGGTGAGTTTCTTGCTACCAAGGTCCGGCTCGCACTGCATGGTGGTGATGAGGTGTTGCCGCAGCCAGCACCAGGCAGTTGTGGCAGCAGCGGTGAGTTTCCAGGTGCACAAAGCGTGGCGGCGAAGCAGTTTCATGAAGATGTTAAGGCAGTAGCAGCAAAACACCGCGGCCTTCTCAGGTGCTTCTTTGTCTGGCCTTGCATTCAACGCCACAGAGTGCATTGACGACGAAGGCGGGATGTGTGTTGCTGTTACAT